GTAATTTCCAGGAAAGCTTTATGAACAAACCTAGATAAACCAGTAAATATATCTGTACTCGAGTGTTCCATAGTTCTTTCGAAAAGCAGATCCCTCCCATGTATAGCGGAAGACCTGTTGCATTCTTCAGACTAGGTGAGGAAGACCAAAACAAAAAGGATGATGAACAAGACCAGCAAAAATACTATCATCATACACTGGCCTTTTACACCAGCCTTCTTCATGACTGTAGCCACTTTTTTCTGCAAGAATTAAAAAGGAACTTTTCATCTCTTCTGGTATCACTAATCCATATATTTCAGTCAATTAGCAAGCTGAAGAAAATAAAAGATAAATTCGTTTCCAGTGGACAGAATTTCTTGGTAGGACAATCTATTAAGTAAGCAGCGACTGACCTGAACAAAATCAAGACGATTTGATGTACTGTCCATTTCCATACCCAATTCATCGACAATCTTCTCCTGGAATACCGAAAGATTTACAATTTAGTACAACAAAGTAGCAAGAGTGGGTGACCCAGAACTGCAGGGCAGAAACAGCTAATTTGCAAGTAATAGATACGAGTTAAAAGACAAATGCACCAAAATGCTAATCTGTTTGGGTTTTGCTCTTGCTCCCTTTCCTTGGTTAATATAACTTTTTTTAGTCCCACCCCACCACCCAAAAAAAAGAACTTGGAGAAAACATCTGAACTATTTGTTTTCCCATCATTGTACAGTAACTTACAAAATTCTTACCTGTGCAAGGAGCTCTTCATGAATGGTAAGCCCAACACCCCCAATTCTCTCCACACTTGCACTAAGTTCATCCAACTCCTCATCCTGTTGCCTACAAGCACAAATTGACAGACATAAAATCAAAAGAAACAGAGTTATATAGACAAGTGGAAGTGGCTAGAGGATTAGGGAAGAAGAAAACTATGTCAGTAGAGCAAACATTTTTCTCCGCCCAGCCAAAGGGTGAGAATAAATGGTGCACATATAACTACACATTTATTGACAATGAAAGGCCAGTTATCAAACTACAAGCTCAGATGGTCTGACCCAAACAGAGTTTTCTTTTTAGAATTAAAAAGTGCTTCCATAAGTTCGACTATGAAATTTAATAAATTTAACAAGGCAGACTATCTTTTGCAGCCTATATAAAATATGAACAAACACAGCTAGGCAATGAATCTTAGCAAATAATTCCCAGCGAGTAGAATAATAACTTATTACTCATGTATATGTTTGTCACTCAAATATGTATCAATTGGATGTGGGTGTGTAAAAAAATCTTACTTTATGAGAAGCAACTGTCTATCTGATTCGGATGTTATGAAATCGTCATTATGTTGTGCAGCATACTGGTTGGATCTATCTGTCTCCTGAGAATTAGCCAGCCTCATTAATTCTCGGCGCATCCCATTCACACTAGTGCCAGTAGAATCCTTTCCAGCTTCCACTGCTTTTTTTACAGCACCCACCTGATAAACTATCTTACTAATTTAGGGAATGCACAGAGTCATCCAAAGCCATAAGATAACCATGTAATATGCTGTACAAATACATAACGGAATAGAAACCACACAAAGGCTCATTATGTAATTGAATATCCAAAAATCACAACAAAATGAAAACTATTGCAGGTTACAAAACCACACTCGACTGTCACAATGTAAAAGATGTAGGTAATAATCGTAAATCATCAAGGCAAGGTCTGTTATGACAACTTCACAGGATTACCAGATATAAGATCTTCAGTGGCACTAAAACATCTTAAAAGAAGACAACTTAACAGACGATACTTCATACCTGAGCACGAGCAGTGCTCGTCCATCTCCTTCTTTTTTCAAGTTCCACTTCATCAATGCCATACCAAGTAGGATCTCTAGCTGCTACGGAAATTGCTTTGTCCAACTCATCCACCTTCCTATCAAGAAAGCATGCTTTCATTAGTTGCAAGCAGAAGTTGAAGCATTGGGTTAGATGATAAGAGAAAAGATTGCACATAGTAAAACAAGAGAACTAGTTAAATTCACAGCTTCTCTCTGACACATATACAAATTTTAGGATGGATGGATAGGGTAAAATAACAATTGGTGGATGGATGGATAAGTAAAATAACAATTGGTTGGTCATACAGCCTCCTCTTCTTTCTATTCACTTTTTTTTCTTTTCTTTTTTCTTATGGAAATTCTGTTTAAATGAGTATCTGTGCAGTCCTGTAGATGATGTAACATGATGATTCTTTGGCTCAATCTATTTCTTTAATTGTCTTGAGGAATTACCTTGCTAACGAACCTAGTTTAAATGGTCTTAAGCTATCCTCTTTTCAAGAAATAAACCCACTTTTTTCTTTTTCAACTGATCTTAGTTGCTGCTAGAGCACCAGCCCATTAAAAAGCACAAATTTTTTAACCAACATCAAGACCAGACCCATCAACCCATGCTCCTTAACCAGCTACATAAAAAAGAATTTAAAAAAAAGTGGTAAAAAAATTCAGTATTTTGGTATCAGCACACTAAGGTCAACCACAACTTATGACCACCTTGACTGGAATTCGCCCACTTTTTGGCTTGAAATTAGTCCTAGAATTATACTCTTGACATCCACATCAACTCCCAACCCTCCACAGCTCAAAATAACCAGTTTTTTTTTTAACTGAAAGAGAATCAAACCATGAACCATGCGCATTAGAAAACTTGATTTTCTGATCAACAATCGACGAGACACCACCTAGTGTCAAGATATTTTTTTACCGCACAACAGCCCATTGTTATTGATATGTTTATGGAAATTCGACAAATATCCCTCAATTTTCAATTTGTTATATGGATATGTTACGGAAATTCAACAATTATCTCTCAATTTTCAATTTCTTTCCAGCTTTTTCTATTGTTTCATGCAGACATTAATGTGGTCAGAAAAAGCCCCATACTTCTGCAACACCTTCAGTGGAAATTAACTAACCCTCCCCAAAATTTTCATTTCTTGACACCAAAAATAGTGATTTTTCGCCAATATACCCAGTTTTGCATCAGTAATCTCTGACTATATTACCATGACAGATACCTACCATCTATTCTTTATCAAACAAAATAAAACAAAAAAGATAGGCGGATAAAATCAAATCAAATGTCTTAATATTGGCGCACCTGCCAGTCAATGCTTCCACAAGTAGCAATCAGTTCTTTTGTGAGGTGTAATTGCTCTCCAGTATCAGATGAAATGCGTTCCCATTGATGAAAAGAAGATTGCAACTTATCAATCTAATCAAGTAGGAAATATAATAGTCAGAATTCATTTCTGCTACTCCTAAACATAATGCCATCGAGACAAATTCCGCACAAATAATTGCATACCAAATTCATCTGTCAATGAAAAAGTGAAGGATGAGGATGGTAGTGTGTTGAGGCAAATGGGTTTGTGTGTGTGTGTGTGTGTGTGTGTATGTGTATATAGAGAGAGAGAGAGGATGTGACAAGATTCAAAAGCCCAAAAATGATGGTAATAACTCCAAACAAAGTATGAAAGTCTACTAAAGGAATCACATTGAACTGATAATATGTATTCAATAAAATATATAAACCATGGCTCATTCCGAAAGCTTCAAAGTAACTAAGTAATTTGACAACTTACAGATTCTTGAATCTCCTCTTTGACAACATAGAATGGATCTTGAGCTGAGGGCATTGTGAACCTCACGAAACTAATCTATCCTATCAGCATCCAAAAGAAAAAGAAAAAGAAGGGGAAAAAAATTCCATTAGAAAAACCATATAACTTATATAGACACACACGCATATATAATATATATACAAGAAATTCAATCCCATTGAAATATTCACTAAGAAAAACAACTGAAACAAACATTTCACAAAAAGGGTTTGCGGGCCTTAGCTCCACTCCATTTGATTAGCGTGAAATGGAATATGATTTCCAAATACCCAAATCTGTGATCCCTATTCAACATATTATACCATGCAATTGCCAGCTTGATATGATTTGAGAACTGATTAAATCACCGAATTCAAATCACCACTTTGGATCAGTAACGAAACGGACCAAAATTCCAATTTGTATCACCCAATAAGTTAATAACCCGACTGATCAATACCATAACCACCACGTTATTCAAATCTAAATACACCGAAATTCAGATTTGAAAACAATACATGAATTTATGTAATAGGTACGGAAATTTTTTTTAAAAAAAGAGAGAAATTGAGAAAGGTGAGATAGGCGCTATACCTGTACGGACTGAACTGAGAGACCTGATCTGTGAGATCCTCGTCTGGACTTAATGTCCGGAAGACGAAGAAGCTATGAGAAGACGAAGTTAGAGACAATCGTGTGGGCTTCAGTTATGGGGCATGGCTATATTTTAATTTTGAAGTTTGGACCCATACACCGGCCTGCCCAGGCCGAAGAAACACTCAAGCCCATTTTAATGGCCGAACATTCAAGTGCGGTCCAATTTATCTGCTTCTTGCCAATATTCGTTATATCTCACAATCACCATATTTTTAGGTAAACTAGTGAATTACCCTGAACTGGTACTTAATTTTCAATATAATCTGAATCCAATAATCCAATTACAAATGGATTTGGATTTGGATTTGGATTGAGATATATCTGATTTGAATCCGAATTGTTTACAAGTTTACCCACAAACCCCTTCCCCCTTCTCCCAGCCACAGAACGCAACCCAGCTCGCAACCCACCCCCTACCCGCAGAACCCAAACAATATCATAATTGCGACCATCACACTGAAGATTGAGTAAATTTTAGTTAACGATGTAAGTTTTGAGGGGATGGGTGGCTCCTTATTTTATTCTGTTTTTAGATTAGTTATGGTTTTTTAAGTTCAAATTGAATTCTTTATTTTTGAATTTCTGACACCAACTTAAATTCATGTAATTCCTCTAAAAGATTTCATTTGTCAATAAGCAAATGATTACTTTTGCCAGATCATTAGGAGAAAAAGGCATTATCCTAGACACCTTCACCTAGAGCATAGAAAAAGATAAGGAACTTCATGTACATCAATATAATAAATTTGGCGTACAACTTTGTATACACTTTTGAAAGTTGAAGGGGCAACAAAACCCAATCAATGCGTGGTCAAGGATGTATCGTGTCTGGGTTTTTCATTTTTCTGGCCTGAAAGGGAAAACAAAGTATAAATGTATTGACATGGTGCCGCCAAAAAAGCTCTCCCTAAAACCTTACAGCTTCACTCACAACTCAGCTATGGGCCATGGCCGTCGGCATTGGCAGAACACATCAGTGTTTTATGCTTAGACACAAGGGGTGACTTCATGTTGGTGGCTGCCATGTTCCTGGCCTGAATGTTTGACCAGATCCTGTTGGCTCTGTAGACCTGGAAAACAAAAGTTCAACAATGTAGAATAATCAACACAGCATGCATTTTTCAGGGAAGAAATAGGAAAACTGAATTCATTGTAATGTATCAGGTCACTTTAAACTTATAGGTTTTGGGTCTATTTGTATGAAGATTTCAGAGCAAGGAGATCTACAATTCCCCTCATTAGTATATTGTTTATGATTTCAAGGTGTAAGTAGTGATGGTTGCACAAACACGAAGATGAAGAATATATCGAACATACTCAAGATCTTGTTTTGCTTTTTTAGCTTCTTTCTCTTGGGAGTTCCTGCCATATTAACAAGCAGAACAATGTAAGCATGAAAACATGAGCATTCCCACCCACCCAACATAAAGAAACATGAAATACTAGTGAAAAAACAAACTTGAGCAGGACTACAGGTCAGGGAGTTTTGTTCCTTTGTTTTATTTTTCTTTGGTAATCACAGGTCAAGAAGAAACTGGTCGAGTATATATAAGAAAAATAAAATGCTTGTACTCTTTTTAAAAAGTAAATACAAAGCAACTACATGATTAGTGTGTGAGTGTGTGTGTGTGTGTGTGTGTGTGTGTGTGTGTGTGTGTCTGTAAATCTTAGCAGACCTACCTCACTCCTTCCATCGAAACAGATTCTTCCTGATTTTCATCACCTTTGTGAACAAACAAGGAAGACAAACATCAAAAACCAAATTAACTTAGCATAATCTACCTAAAAAACAACAAATTAATGCAAAAAAATTGTAATGCGCCACAGAATCAATAGCAAATAAAGATTCTGCAATCTGAAAGATGGCCCTAAAATAAAAATCCTCATTCTAAGAAACCTTTCTGTGGAAAAGTACATTACTCTGACATAATCTACCTTGAAAGAACAGGTAGTTAACCCAACAGTTAGTAATGCAAGATAAATACTGAATGATTATGCAATCTGAAGGATATACTTCAAATAAAAATTTTCATCCTAACACCTAAGCAACGTGTATTTGAAGGCGGGAGAGGATAAAAGACAAGTTACCTTCAGAAGGAACACCAAATTGCCGAATGAAACTTTTCAAATCTGGACCTCCAACTTTATCTATACACAGAGTATAATCATGAATAATTGCATGGGCATAATGGTATAGATACCACCGTAAAAGGTTCCAGTAAGAAGCTGACCAGTGTTGATGACTTTACGTGTACTGCCTTCTCTTGCTTTCCTTTCCTCTTCTTCTTTCTTTAGAACTTCGCAAATAAAAATAAATAAATAAATGTTTTTTTTAAAAGCATCTGTATTAAACTGAAAAGTGCAATAGAGCAATCCAACTTATAAGTTGGTGACACCAGTTTCCACTAAATCTCAAAAGATACCAGCTTTTAGAGATACAAAAATAAAGTTATATAAACAGACATGCCATTTTAAGGAGATAAACATGGTGAGGAGGTGGAGAGACTTTGTGGATCACTTTTTCATTCCTTAGAAAAAAAATGCATCAATAACAGAATCCAGTCATTGAATAAAATCAATAGCAAATAAAGATTCTGCAATCTGAAAGATGGCCCTAAAATAAAAATACTTATTCTAAGAAACCTTTCTGTGGAAAAGTACATTACTCTGGCATAATATACCTTGAAAGAACAGTAGTTAACCCAACAGTTAGTAATGCAAGATAAATACTGAATGATTATGCAATCTTAAGGATATACTTCAAATAAAAATCTTCATCCTAACACCTAAGCAACGTGTATTTGAAGGCGGGAGAGGATAAAAGACAAGTTACCTTCAGAAGGAACACCAAATTGCCGAATGAAACTTTTCAAATCTGGACCTCCAACTTTATCTATACACAGAGTATAATCATGAATAATTGCATGGGCATAATGGTATAGATACCACCGTAAAAGGTTCCAGTAAGAAGCTGACCAGAGTTGATGACTTTACTGGTACTGCCTTCTCTTGCTTTCCTTTCCTCTTCTTCTTTCTTCAGAACTTCGCAAATAAAATTAAATAAATAAATGTTTTTTTTTAAAGCATCTGTATTAAACTGAAAAGTGCAATAGAGCAATCCAACTTATAAGTTGGTGACACCAGTTTCCACTAAATCTCAAAAGATACCAGCTTTTAGAGATACAAAAATAAAGTTATATAAACAGACATGCCATTTTAAGGAGATAAACATGGTGAGGAGGTGGAGAGACTTTGTGGATCACTTTTTCATTCCTTAGAAAAAAAATGCATCAATAACAGAATCCAGTCATTGAATAAAATCCCATTTTGGATCCAATTAATTTATAAAAAATTTATGGCCGATACCATTGTGAATCTCCATGTTATTTGCAGGGTGATTGAGGTTGAAACATAACAATCATTCCAAAGATATGGAAAACAGTCCATTTAGAGTAATCTCTTCATTAAGAATAAAACAAAACAGTTATCACACATAAGATATGAAAGTAAGATAACTTCTGTTTTTGGCGCTATTGGCAGCATTCGGGTATTTACCACTAAGAGGCATATTTTAAGGCAGTTGGGTAAGTTATGTGCTACTGATGAGGGGTAAGCTTGTACTACTAGCCACTATCTTTGGATTTCCGAATGTCTCTCTCTCATTCTCTATATCTCTTTTCTTATCTGGGGATATTATTACAGACGCATACTACCTGAATATGCAATTAATGCATGCCTTCATTCACTTACCTTACATTTTAAATGATGCTCCTATAAAAGTCACAAGTTGAATATTGATTTTGTAATAAAGATTTCTTTTAGTAAACCTACAACTCAATGGTTCAAAAAGAGCCAGAAAGTAGCAGAAGCAACCAGACAAAATTGTTAACTAATGGTAGAAATGACACATACGAGCAACATTCTGCCGGACACGTTCACGTCTTGCTTCCAAATCCATTAGTTCCTGGAGGCATAGAAAAAAAAAATGCCAGACGGTAGAAATGAAACGGCAATCCAAAATGTATCTTAAGCAAGATATCATTATGAGGGAAAAAAAAAGAAAAAAGTGTCCATGATAGCATGAACATCTGGGAAGATTAGTCAATGGTGATTTTATAATAGGCGATGGCAGACAAATAATCCACCTTCTTTACCAAAATATTTGGCACAAATTTCTCTTCTTTTTTCAAATTAATGGAAGA